CTTCTCAATCCCGAGTATTCCCAGGTGCCTCCTGCTTACGAGACCCATCGGATACCACTCAGCATTCAACTANTTCACACTCCCTCGTTGGATTTACACCCCATTGCCTTATGGGTCAGACTCTTGAGTCAAAGGCTCCGGTTAGGGTTCCCAAAGAAAAACCCCTTCGTTTGTGGGCAACCGCGAAGTATGCCGTGCCCAAAAGTCTCTGGTACCCACTTGGAGAACCATCTTTCTCAGCTGCCTATTGCCTCTTCTCACTCCCATACCTTAAGAGGTGCATCCTGTTTGCTCCATCCATCGGATACCACTTAGTGGTGAACTGAGGTCAACGACTCAGAAGCCACCAGATTTTTGAAACCAAAATCTCCTCTCCACTTAGCCGCACTCAATGTCCGCACATTCTATCACACTGGTCAACAAGCCGCCTTAGCTAGAACCCTTGAAACCTGCCATTTAGATGTATGCTGTGTCTCCGAAACACGCATACAAGATCCTACTTCAATCATCTTGGGTTCTCCAGAACCAAACTCATCCTCACTTTCCGTGAGTCAGGCGATTCGGTATCTGAAGCTCGCGGTGTTGCTGGTGTTGGGATTGCGATAAGTGTCAAGGCCAAGCGTTCATTTCTAGATTGGATCCCGGCTAACAGCCAACTTTGCGTCGGGATGGTTCAGGACGAATCAACAGCTACAGAACGAAACGTCGATGTTTAATCGTTGTATCCGCGTATGCACCAACAGATTGCGGTTCACCAGAAATAAAGGATGAATTCTACAAGGACCTCTCTCAACTGCTCCAAAGTGCTCGGTCAACGGACATCGTCGTCTTCGCTGGAGACTTCAATACTCAAGTGGGATCCCTGAATGAATCAGAGGCTACTTGGAGGTTCACTCCCAGTCAACAGGACTGACAACGGAGAACGCCTACTCCAACTTTGTGCTGACCACGGACTGTTTCTGTCAAGCACGAACTTCTAGCACAAGATAGGACACCGCATTACATGGAGACCACCAACTTCTTCACAGTGCTGGACTCAAATCGACCACATCGCCATCAGCCACCGCTGGAGAGGATCCATTGAAGACTGCCGCTCCTACTGGTCAACACCCGTGGACACGGACCATGCTCTGCTACGAGCGAGATTCTCTCTATGCCTAGTAAACAAACGCAGAAAAGCCACCGAAAACGGATGTCCAAGATATAATGTCAGCAATAGTTGCAAATCGGCATTCGAAGCGGAACTGTCAGATCGTCTCTCAGCACAGCCATAGCCGGAGGACTCAGTGAACAATGGACGGCAATCAAGGAAGCGATCAAAATGTCAATCGAAACAACAGCGAGTTCTGACACACGATCAAATAAAAAACGATAGATCTCCCCGACTTCGGTTGCCCTGCTGGACGCTCGCAAAGCCATTCTCTCGGATTCAAGATACGACGAAGCGCGCAAATCCCTTAAACGCCAGCTCATCAAAAGTCTGAGGAATAATCGCAAGAAGTGGTGGGTAGGAAAGTGTAGAGAGATGGAGAAGGCTACGGCTATTGATAATAGTCGCAATCTTTTTCGTTTAATTAGGAGTACAGGACCAAGGAAAGCAGGTGTAAGTGAGGTAATTAAGGAGTCTGACGGCACACTGATTCAAATTCAGGAACGTCGTCTTGAACGTCGGGCAGAACATTTTAAGGCACAGTTAAGTTGGCCCTCGTCAGCACAAGACCTCTTTACACCCGATTCAACTGTGCAACTACTGCCAGTTGACATCAGTCCTCCATCTGAAATAGAGGTTACCCGGGAAATAAGTCATCTCAAAAGGTATAAGGCTTCCGGCCCCGACGGGCTGTCACCATCGGCTTTTAAGGATGGAGGCTCAGCCTTGGTTTTGGAGTTAACAAAACCCTTGGGTTCATTGTGGGAGAAGGAACAGGTTCCAACGGAAAGGTGTGAATCGGTGATCATACCGATTTACAAGAAGGGCGACAGGTTCTCTTGTAAAAACCACAAAGGAATTAGTTTAGTTACCATTGCCTCTTAACTTCTCGCCGGCATCATACTCCGCCGATTGTCTACCTCTCGTGAAGAGTGCGCACGTGAGAACCAGGCTGGTTTTAGGCCTGGTCGAGGTTGTATTGACTACATCTTTACTCTTCGTCAAATCCTAGAGCACAGACACTCTTTTCGTAGACCCACCATTTCCATCTTCCTCGACCTGAAAGCGGTTTTCGACTCACTCGACCGCTCTCAAGTCTGGCGCTACCTTTCTCTGCTAGGTGTGCCCCAGAAGTTAATTTCAATATTACGATCGTTCCATACTCATATTCAAAACCAAGTCCGAGCTTACGGCACTTTTTTCGCCCGAATTCACAACAGATAGTGGTGTTCGACAGGGTTGCCCTCTCTCTCCTTTTCTATTTAACTTTTTTATAGATCTGATTATGGAAACAGCCCTATCCTCGTGCGGGGATAGCAGCATCGATTTACTCCCAGGTGGCAGGGTATCTGATCTAGAGTATGCAGACGACATTGTGCTACTAAGTGAAGATTCGGGTAAGTTGCAAGCTTTTCTGGATAGTTTGAGTGCTAGTGTAGCGATGTTCGGTATGCGCTTTGCACCTTCAAAGTGTAAAATGCTGCTCCGAGATTGGGTTGGCCTAGTCCCCAGCCTCACCCTGATCGGGGAAGTTGTAGAGAAAGTAGACCTGGGCAGATATATGTCACCTGGCGGACGCATCACAGATGAAGTGTCGGCGCGCATACAAAAGGCTCGGTGGGAATTTGCCAACTTGAGACATCTGTGTCATCGTCGCAATATTCGGTTGTCTGTAGGTAATCGCGGTCGTCCACTGGAGCAAGTGGTGGACTTCTATAGATTACGCTGGTTGG